AAAAAAAATTATATAAAATATTATTCCCAAATCACTCCCTAAAAATAATTCCTAGTCTCTACATTGGAAAGGCAAGACTACCACGCGACCGAAGCCTGGTTCCGTCCCTGGCGATGGCCAATTTGACTTTTCCCTTGTGTTTTTCTCATTAATGGAATTGGCACAGTTTTGGAAACTTTTATTTTTTACCCTTCAAAATTTTCCTTTTCTACATGGAAAAATGGGATTAGCTTAGCACACGAGAAATAAACAGTTTTTAACTAGATCCTTTTAACAAAGCAGTGACTTGCAGTTCGTCCCATAGATTTGCGTGGTCTTTTTCTATCAAGTATCAACGCAATTTGCGGTTGCGGGGTAAACCGTAAAATAACAATTTATTCTTTTAAAATTATAGAAAGGAGAAACCTTTACCCCGTTGGTAATTTATTATAGTGAGACTTGCAAAAGAAAATATATATTTTATATTATTTTTTAATACATTTAAATAAATTATATAATAAAAAATAATTTTTCTAATTCTTTAAATTTTTTTTTATCTGATTCAAAGTTCAAATTAAAAATTTTTAATTTGAAATATCAAATTTTTAATTATTAAATCACTTCATAAAATAAATTTTGTATTTTTATAATATAAAATTAGTATGTGTCAACCCTCACTTCTAAAAATAATTAAAATTTTATCTTATTAAATATTAATATTTAAATTTAAAATTTTATTATATATTTTAATATATCAATATTTAATAAAATAAATTTTTTAAATTTTAAATTAAATTTTAATTAAATAAAATAATGTAATTTAATATTAAAAATCTAATTATTTTTAAAAATTAAGATTAATATGTATTTTTTATAATATAAAAAATATAACATAATTTAGATTATGAAATTTTTTTTTTTTACTGGGCAACCAGATATCTCACCAAATACTTTTTAGACTCACTTGGTATAGTAATCGGGGCGTAATGGTTAGTTATTTATAGTTTTAGTTAAATTGACATATGATGTACATTTAGTAAATTTATTTATTTTAAAATTATTATAAATGAAATAT